TTTGTGTTTGTGGGTGTGTGTTGGGGTGTTTGTGTGTTTGTGTGTTTGTGTGTTTTGTGTGTGTTTGTGTTTTTGTGTGTTTGTGTGTTTTGTGTTTTTGGGTGTGTTTGTGTGTGTGTGTGTTTGTGTGTGTTTGTGTGTGTGTTATGTGTGGTTGTGTGTGTGTGTTGTGTGTGTGTTGTGTGTTGTGCGTGTGGGCGTGTGTGTGTGTGTATTTGTGTGTGCGTGGTGTGGTGTGTTGTGCGTGTGTGTCCTGGTGCCCCCTCACCTCCTCTCCCTCCCTCCTCCTCCTCCTCCTCCTCCTCCTCCTCCTCCTCCTCCTCTCCTCCTCCTCCTCCCTCCTCCCTCCTCCTCAGCCTCCTCCTCCTCTCTCCTCCTCTCCTCCTCCTCCTCCCCTCCTCCTCCTCTCCTCCTCCTCCGCCTCCTCCTCCTCCCTCCTCCTCCTCTCCTCCCTCCGCTCCTCCTCGATTCCTCCTCCTCTCCCTCCTCCTCCTCCTCCTCCTCCTCCTCCTCCTGTCCTCATGTCCTCGCGGAGCGCCGCCAGGGGCGGCGCCAGGTGCGCTTCGCCGCGGGGGGCCCGGCGGACGTCCAGGCAGGCCGCTCCGCGCGGGCCTCCGACAGCCTGCATGGACCGCGGGAGGCCCACGCGGCGTGCGCAGGCCGAAGAGAAGCGACGGCGCGAGTCGTGCGGCTCGTCGTCTTCTTCAGGGGGAGAAAAATCAGGAGGGAAAAAAACACACAGACACAATTAATCGTCGACTCCCAGGAAAATATGCGAAAATATGGGAAGTGGGGGGGAAGACAGAAACCCAGAAAATATTAGAAAATATGGGGAATATGTTTATTTGTGTGTATTTATTTGTGTGTTCCAGGGCCCCTTCAGAGAAGCGACGGCGCGAGTCGTGCGGCTCGTCGTCTTCTTCAGGGGGAGAAAAGGTGACACAAACATTAAAAACTCGGAGGTCCGCGCGGGTTTCGCGGATCGGCGCTGGGGCCCGCCGGCGGCGCCTCCGGCGCCGCCCCTGGCGCGCTCCGCGCGCCAGGGAGGGGGGTCCGGCCCCGATCCGAGAAATCCGCGCGGACCTCCGAGCTTCTATGTTCATGCCACTTTTTGTTCCCCTATTCTTGGCGGCGCTCCGAGGGGGGAAGCGAGAGGTCACCACCCACCAAAGCACCCCAGCCCGACCCGAAGGCCTCGGCTTGCCCTCCATTTCCAGTGTGGGGGGGGGGGTCGGGGAGCATTGAAGAAACACAAGGAACCCGTGCAGCCAACCATGATAGTAAGGATGGGGCAACCTTCCAAGGCTACCCTTGCATCCTTGCCCCTTCGGTGTTCGGCATGTTTCGGCATTCTGCTGCGCTCCGCACGGGACACGTCAACATGGCGTTCCAAGGCCCCTGCATCCTTACCGAGCATCCTTAATATCCTGGTCGAGTGTACCCTTAAGTCGGGCCTGTCCCTCCCTCTACAGAGGGAATATCCAACAATAGTCGACAAAATAGTCGGGGGACTGTTTTTCGACTATTTCTGGACATTTTTGGTGTACTGCATGGTACTTTTAATTTTTCGCCCAGAATCCCCCTGTAGGGGGCCGTGGCCGACTTACGTGTACCCCCCCCCCGCCCGAAACTCGGGCCAACCTTCAAGACGCCCCGAGAGGCCTCCAACAGACCTCCCAAGAGTGCCCACCGGGGCAGAAATTTGCGGTTTCCCCTCATGTTTCTGACGGTTTTGGTCGTTCCCGCCTCTTGGGCTTCCCTCGGGCTGGGCCCGGGTGGCCTGGCAGGCAGGGAGGAGGAGGAGGAGGAGGAGGCGGAGGAGGGGGGGGAGGAGGAGGAGGAGGAGGAGGAGGGAGGGGAGGGGGGATGAGTGGGAGGGGGGGAGGGAGGCGGGAGGCCGAGAGGTAGCGGGAGGAGGAGAGGAGGAGAGGAGGATGAGGGAGGCCGGAGGCGGCGGAGGAGGAGGGAAAGGGGAGGGCGGGCGCCCGAGAGCAGGGCGGCCTGGGGGGCGCTCCGCAGAGGGCCGCGCGCTGCGCGGGAGGCCGCGGAGGCCTCCCGAGCCCTCCGAGGTGGCCCGCGGCCGCTCCGCCCTCCCCCCTGGGCTTATGTCGGGCGTGTCCCCCTACAGCCTACGGGGGGATTTTAGGGCGACGAGATCTATGCATATCCACTGCTCCTGACCAGGCCCATCCTGGGCCCAGGAGCTGTGTATATGCCTCCCTGGCCAGGCCAGGAGGGCGTATACACCGCTCCTGGGCCCAGGATTGGCCTGGCCAGGAGCAGTGGATATGCATAGATCTCGTCGCCCTAGATTTTCGACGAAAACTAAGTCCAAAATCCGCCTGTAGGGGGACACGCCCGACCTAAGGCCAGCTTCGGGCTCCGATGCCGTCAGACTTTTGGGGTTCGGGGCGGAGAATGCCAGCCTCGCGGAAGGGGTCGAGAGGTCTTGGGACCCACGCGCAGGGACAGAGTCGAGGCACAGACGTCTGGGCTCCTCACACGTGGCGCCAGGCATGTGGGGAGGTCAGCCACGCGCAGACGGGAGTTTGGGGGAAGGGGGAAGACTTCTTATAAGCACCCCTACCTCTTGGAAGGCTCGGGCCTTGTCTGTACATGTAGGGCCAGCGCCTTCTAAGAAGCAGCCTCCTTCTCAGAAGCCTTCCCCCCTTCTCCTACGCCCTTGTGCGCGCCGCCAAGACGTAGGGAGGGGTCCAGTGCCGACCCAAGAACTCCGAGCGGGCCTCCCAAGTTTCTCTTCTTCCCTGAGATCCAGCGCTGCGAGCAAAAGTGGGACGTCGCGAGCAATTGCGTCTGGAGCCCTAGACCCCGTCTTTCTATGGCAGTCTTCGAGCCAGATCGATCCGTGGAGGGCCCGGGGCCCGAAACTGGGCGAAACCGCCCAGTGCGAAGAGTTGCAGCGCCCAGCTCTCGGGTTCACCGGCCTGTTTGGTCTTCTCCCGTCGGCTCCATACGCGACCCCATCAAGTGTTGCTGCGTGGCCATGAAGTTCGAGGCCTTCGACGACTCTGGCAACAGGTCGGCCACTACAAAAGGTGTGGTCACGTCAGGGTGTGGTTTGCGATCTGCGTCGGCTGTGGCTGGGGGGGGCATCACGCCGCCCTCGCTGGGCCGCCTCGGGGCGCGGCGGCGAGCTCCGTCGAGGTCCTCGCCGGCCCCCCAGGGTGCGGGGGTTGCAGACCGCTGAGCTCCTTCGGGGGCACGATTGAGTGTGAGTAGTGTGCCGAGATAGGTGGCGGTGGCACACGCGGTCGGGCCCGATGTGAGGCCGCGGGTTGAGCTCGGTTTACTAGAGGCACGAAACGTGCCGTCGGGATGAGATGTGTGGCCGGTCCCAAACAGGCGACGTCCTGAGATGTTCCATACGGGATCCCTGGAGGTCCCGACCCTCTCCCCAGGACCGTTTTTTCGTCCCGAGTCGGTTTCGGTCGGTCCCGAGGGCTGACGAGGGCTGCCAGGGGCCGAAAACGTCCAAAAGCCTTCCGTCCTGTTTTTTTTCGACGCGATCCACCTCTTCCTCCTCCTCCTCCTCCTCCTCCTCCTCCTCCTCCTCCTCCTCCTCCTCCTCCAGCCGCCGCCACGGCCCAGACACCCGCGAGCGGCCCATCCCCACCCACAGTCAACACAGATCTTTGACGTGTGGAACATAGGGCGCATCGGCGGGAACGGGGCCGCTCAGGGCGGCGCCGCGAATACTCACACAGCTGTCCGCTACCGCACCCCCGCCGCGTTGATGTTTTCCCCACGCTTCCTCTTACATTGCTCGCTGTGCCACACCCGCCTCTCCGCCGAGGAAAGCAACAAGAGGATAGTGTACCACAATGTGCAGTGGGCAGACTTCATCATCCTCGAGGAGATTTCGATGCAGATAGCCAACGGCAACGTCGACGGAGCCATTGGGACGGGAAGGTCAGCGCGAGGCACGGATTACACGAAGTACCAGCTGCCAAACCAACAATGTATCCAGCACAGGTGGAGGAAAGTGGCTGGCGTCCCCAATCCATGCGGACTGGCAGTACTACTGAATAAGGGACTTAGTGGGAGTGTCCCGAGAGCGGCTACGACTCCGACGACGAGCGGAATCACAGGACGGAGTGGCATGATTACAGTCAGTATGAGCACAATAGACGTGGCGTCGTTCCCCATCTGTATAACACCGAGGGGCACGGCCGTCAAACAGAGCGAGCTAGACAAGCGGGGTCACAACAGCCTCCCCATCATTTCTGGTGACTACAACTGCGCTTTTGGAATACGCCGACACACAACAGGGAAGAAGTACATCGAGGCCACCGAGTCTAGCGACACAGAGGAGCCCGCCCTAGAGAACACCACCAGCATGCAGAGGAGCGACCTCACAGATGACAACCACTTGGCGATCGGAGACACCTACATGGGGACAGGGAACGCCTACTACAAAAGCGCCTACACAAGCAACTTAGAGCATGTTGCTTTTTGCCTGCGAAAGCCATGTGCAGGGTTCGCCAACCTTACCCCGCGGCTGGCCTGGCGCGACGTCTCCAGTTACACGATCCCGCGCACCTGACCGACCACATGCCGATTTACATGAAACTGGATGGGCACAGCGCCAAGACCCACAACAGCAAGCTCACGCCACATGCCCGCTGCGACCTGATGATGGTCGCGTTCACACGGGACTACAAACGCCTGGAGCTTTCAAAACAAGAAGGGGAGAAGACCCAACAGACAGACGAGATGGAGTGGCGCAAAGCCTGGGACCAAGGTTCAAAAATGGTGGGATATGCTTTCCAACAATATTCGCGAAGCCAGGCTGGAGACGTTCCCCAAGCAGGAACAGGACAACACCGGATACGACGAGATTGGGACGTTGGAAATCGATCGACACCTCGAGCTCCCGAGAGTTACGAGTGAAGGGGGGCTCACAGCACACAGTACCCATCGAGACCTTCTGAGCCCCGAAGGCGCCCGACGAGCAGCCCGACCTCAGAGCGGTGACGGAGGAGCCGACGACGACAACAGCCTCACAAACGAGTACGTATGCACGGACGAGATGGGGGAGGAGGGCGAGGGCAGATGCTTCGGAACGACACCGAAGGAGAAAAACAAGTTCGCCCCGCGCACAGGGATGACAGGATCACAATGGGATGACGGACCGAGCCGACCGCCACAGATTGGAGGAATGCAGTACGAGAACATTGATTGGCAGGAGTGGATCGCCGACCGCGCCCCCATGCTGCACGCCCACGATGCCTTGCACGCAGACGACTATGGAGATCAGACCAGCCAGGACCGTGCAGGCCAGAATCGATACCCATGCAGAGCCCCCAAACGACGCGCAGGGCCAGCACGAGGGGTGCTAGCGCAGGCACCATGCATGTGCAGCGACAGGCGATATCACGACAACGAGCACGAACGGAAGTACAACCCAGAGAACTTCAGCAGACGGCATGATGATTTACACGTGCTGATTCGCCTGGAAAGATCAGCCCCACAGAGAACCACTCGGTCGCAGTCGTTCACCCAGGACAAGGGCAATGAGAAGCTCGTGGGCCAAGGGCAACAAATCCTTCATCGATTCGAAGTGCCACGAGAGCATGGGCGAACAGTAGCAACCTCTTCCAGATCCATGATCATCAGCACGAACATGGGTGCATGATGCCGCGCAGCAGTTGCGAGCAGAGCACCATGCCTGCGCTACAAGCTCATGCGACCACAGCGACGAAGAGAAAGCGCCGAAGCAGAAGACGTCGCCCAACAACGCGCAGATGATCAGGCAACTGTCAGGCAGCCAAGGGGGCCGCTTTCTGATTTACGGCGGGTACTCAGCAGTGACCGCTGCGGAAGCAGCGGACACAACCTATGCGGAGAAGGTCCAGGAGAGAACTGCGGGGACTTGGGGACACCGCGCCTCCACATCGGCGTAGACTTCCACCTGGAGACGGGGCTCAACGACAGGTCCGACGAAACCAACAAGACGATCCTGAAGGAAGATTGCTCGTCGACCCACGTGACGGGCGCGCAGGGATTCGGGGGCATCGCCACGCATATCAAAGTCAAGAAGGCCTACAGCGAAGGGGGGCAGCCATAGAGATGGAAGTTCTAGTCGACGCTCAACAGCCTCGCATGCAGCCCTCGGACACCCTCATGGGAGGACCAGATCAACGCCTCTCGCGAAGGAAGCCAGGAGCCGCCCGTCAAGACCAGCCGCATCAAGCATAATGGGGACCTCAGGAAAGCAGTCGAGGACAAACTCCGAGCGGCAGAGGCAGCGCAGATATTCTGAGCACCGCCGCTATCAGGTCTCGTGAGGAAAGTACAGGTAGCATTGTGACCACGTCAGCTGGCGATGGAGAGATAGAGATGACAGAAAGTAGAGAGCTAGCCAGGGATAGCAGTCGCAAGGCGATGGGCCGCTGCGACGCACCACCACCCGCGGCGGTTCCTCTTGCTTTCTTTTACGCGAAGCCGTTCAGCACCTGTCTCGGGGATTTAGGCGCCAAAGGGTGCCTCTTTTTTTCTTCTCCCCCTGATTCCCGTGGCGTCCGCCCGTTTCGGTTTGTTCCCTTGTGGGCCTTTTGGTCCGACGCACCACGGGAACCTGGGCCTCGGGACCAGACGCGTGCACAACGACGGAGCGAGCAGCAGCTTTAGATAGAGGAACTTGGGGGGGGAGCGCGGGTAGGGGGCGGGGGAGGCGGTGGCGGGAATACTGCTACACTGGGACACGCCCCGAGCCAAGGGCGATTGGCCAGACGGCCCTAAGTCCCTGCCGTTTCCATAACAATTTTGTTTTCGGGAAGGCCCCGCGCTGCAGCGGGCCGAGAGGCTAAAAAGCCAGGGCCCCGTAGGCGACCCGTCGATCCACCGATCTAACGTGCCATCAGCAATTAGGTTCGTATGCAGTCGAACCCCAGACAGCTGCCAAGGCTTCTTCCTCCTCCTCCTCCTCCTCCTTCCTCCTCCATCCCCCTCCTCCTCCTCCTCCTCCTCTCCTCCTCCTCCTCCTCCTCCTCCTCCTCCTCCGCCCCCCATCCCCCTCCTCCTCCTCCTCCTCCTCATCCTCCTCCTCCTCATCCGTCTCCTCCTCCTCCTCCCCTCCTCCTCCTCCTCCTTCTTCGCTCCTCCTCTTCCTCTCCTCCTCCTCCTCCTCCTCCTCGTCCTCCTCCTCCTCCTCCTCCTCCTCCTCCCCCTCCCCCTCCCCCCACTCCTACCACCTCCTCTCCTCCCTCCTCCCTCCTCCTCCTCCTCCTCCTCTCCTCCCTCCTCCTCCTCATCCTCATCCCACATCCTCATACCTCCTCCTCCTCCATCCTCCTCCTCCTCCTCCTCCACATTACACCACATGAAATACGCTCCCACTTCCTGATTGCGTCCCGAAGAATATCCGACCCCCGTCGCGTACTGTTTTTTTTTTACACCGATTCCCCGGAAACGGGTTTTCGCTTGGTTTTGCCGGCCTCATTTCTGCTCCCGAATCGTCCGAATCGTGCTCCCGCTGCAGCGTGGGCCTCATTTTCGGATCGGTGTTTGGCCTCCGTCGTTCAGGATGGCGTTCTCGCCCCAGCGCGGGCCTTTTTCTCGCGCGCCCATCCGCCCGCCACACCGCGCCGCACCGCCACCACCACCACCACCACCACCACCACCACAACCACCACCAGCACCAGCACCACCACCACCACCACCACCACCATACCACCAACAACCACAAGGACCTCGGCAAGCACGACTCACGGCACGCACGCAGCGCGTGCCACCACCCCCCACGCAACGCGCGCTCGGAGCCAACAGGTCCGCTACGAACACGCTTGCCGCGGAATTAGAAAAATCAGCGCCATGGTAAGGATGGGAAGGGAGGTGTAGACGTCAGATAATTGACGCGAGCGCACCTAGCTTGTCCTCCTCCCCCTCCTCCTCCTCCTCCTCCTCCTCCTCCTCCTCCTCCTCCTCCTCCTCCTCCTCCTCCTCCTCCTCCTCCTCCTCCTCCTCCTCTGGGGTCGGCCTCTGCAAGCCACCCCCTTCGGAGCCGCCCCACAGGGTCGCCACGGCGTCCACGGGCTGCGGGTGCTGCCAGTGCGGCCTCTGCTGCTCGTGCCCCTGCGGGCCCTGCTCGCGGATACACCTGACCGTGTCCGGGCCGAGCGGCAAGAAGGTCGGCCGGATGTACAGGCAGATCCCAGGCTTCGAGGATAAAACGACGCGAAGATCAGGACAAAATCGGATCGGGATAACTCGAAATCTCTGAGAATCGGCGCTCTCAGAGCGTTCCGGAACGCTCTGAGAGCGCTTCGGAACGCTGAGAAGGTCGGCCGGATGTACAGGCAGATCCCAGGCTTTCGAGGAAGACACATCAAACAGGGCTAGGATCGGGATACAAATCGCTCCAGAGCGTTCCGGGGCGCTCTCAGAGCGTTCCGGAACGCTCCGGAGCGGCCGCGGCGCCCCATACATCCTCCCAACCCGCCGATTCTCAGAGATTTCGAGTTATCCCGATCCGATTTTGTCCCGATCTTCGCGCCGTTTTAACACAGCGCCCGTGGCATCGCTCGGACGTCTGCATCTTTTCTCGGCGAGGGCCACCGAGGAGGAGCCTGCCTCGGGGCACCCTGCGGCCAGGTGCGCGCACGAAGCCGAACAGCGTGCCGGCAATGGCCGCTCGAGCGAGGACGAGCGACAGACGCGCAGATTTTCGGAGCTCCGCGCGGATCTCTTCGGTCGTCACCACCCACCAAACCACCCCAACCCAACCCGAAGGCCTCAATTTGCCCTCCATTTCCAGTGGGGGGGGGGTCGGGGAACATCGAGAAAACACATATGGAACCCGTACCCCCCCCAACCCGAAATTCGGGTCTTCGGGTTGGGTTGGGGTGGTCTGGTAGGTAGTCAGGTCGGCGCCCGGGCCCCCCTCCCTAACGCGCGCGGAGCGCGCCGGGGGCCGCGCAGGATGCGCCACCGAGAGGGGGCGCGCCGATCCCAGACCCCCGACGTCATGATTTTTTCATGACGCGACTCCCAGAGGTCCCGACCCATTCCCCGGGGACCGGTTTTTCGTTCTGAATCGTTTTTTGACGCTCCCGAGGCCCGGCGAGGGCCCTCAGAGGCCGAACATAGCGAAAAACCTCCCGTCGTGATTTTTTCACGATTTCTGCCCAGAGGCCTGGGCCCCCCTCCCAGGCGCGCGGGGCGTGCCAGCGGCGGCCCCAGGGGTGCCCAGGCGCGGGCCCAAGGAAGCTCCGCGCGGCGGTTCTGGGATCGGCGCGCCCCCTCTCGGTGTCCAGACCCCCTCGAGTAATGAAAAAAACATGACGGGAGGTTTTTCGCCATTCTCGGCCTCCGGGGTCCCTTACCGGGCCTCGGGACCGTCAAAAGACGACTCGGGATGAAAAGCCGGTCCCGGGGAATGGGTCTGGACCTCTGGGGGTCGCGTCATGAAAAAATCGTGACGTCGGGGGTCTGGGGAGGCGGCACGAACGTTTGTCAAGGCTTCGGGTCGCGCACCGGCAGCCCCGCGAGGCAGCCCGGCTGGCCGCAACAGGCCCGCCGAGTCTCGGCTGCGCGTGAGAGCGACCGCGGCAAGGAGGGTCCCGCGGAACGAGTTCTGGGGCCGGCCCCTCTCTTCCCCTCCCCCCTCCCTCCTCTTCCACCTCCCCACCGCGATCTGATCTTCACCAGTTCTTTTCAGGCTGCCCTGGAAGGCAGCAGCCGTGCGCTGCAGCCGATGTGCCGTCTGGGCACGGTTCTGGCCTTGGCCTTGACCTTGCAAGAGTGGCCCTTTCCCCGGAGTGACCTGTGGTGCGGGCCCACCAGGGTCCCCTGGTCGCCAAGTTCCATGCGGCAGCGGTGGCTGGCGCGCCTGGGTCTAGCCCCCCCCCCCCCTGCGCCTCCCCGACGCTGCGCACCGAGGGTCGCTCTTGCCCAGGGCCGCTCTTGCGCGTGGCCGAGAGTAGCTCCAGCTGGCCTCAGCAGGCCCCCTGGAGTAGGAGCGGTGTCAACACCCCGGCGCCGGGGTGTTCCGGGTGGGCTTCGGGGCTTGTTGAGACCAGTTGGGACTTTTTCAGGGGTGGACAGACCTCCTCCTACCCTGACACGTCGATTGAGGAATTGGCCGTGTTCGGTTCGCGAGGGGGCGTCGCGGCTGTCGTTTTTGCGGGTCCAGGTCCGTCTGTTTCGGTCCCGGGCCGTTTTCATTAAGGGGTGGTCTACTGAAGGGAGGTTTGTCCACCGCCGACTACTCGGGGGGCCTGTTGAGGCCAGCCAGGACTACCTCGGGGGCTGTCTGTGCGCAACCCAAAGCCTTACC